AAAGCTTGCATTCATTGGTATCTGGACTTAGATTTCTCAGCAGAGCACTGTCCCTGCCCGGCCAGCCCCGCAGAGCTCCAGCAGCTCGGCTGACCAGAGGGGGCATGAAGAAACCAGGGCCTGGAGAGGCACGTGGATGCTGGGAGTTGTGCCTTGTCCCCTCCTCCCATCTGGCCCGACCCCAGGGAAGAGTAGCCAAGTCCGGTGATGCGTCCTGCTTGCCCAGCTCCCTGCAGCTCCGGATGGCCACGAGACCCAGTTCTGGCCAAGTGTGCTGGGAGGGGGGGTGGGGGGCTCCGGGAAGGAAGATGGTTTTCCTGATCCAAGTGGACAGGCCCGGCTGGCGTAGCCCTGACTCTCTCCCTGCCTCCAACTCAGACCTGACACCCACGGCTTCAGCCACTGCCTTGTGACCCTGAAAGAGAGGGCCGCAAAACCACAAGGGTGTCAGGCCCCACATCCCTGAGCGATGCCAATAACCGCCAACCCCAGCACTTGGAGCCGTGTCAGAAAAATAACAGGATGTGTTGAGCATGCTGGTCGGGTCTTCTATTACTTGCAGCCAAACGCATCCCTGACGGACGCTCCCAGCAAATTACACATCCCAGGACCCATCCCACGGCGGAGCCCAGCTCCCCAGGCTCATCGCCTAGCTCTGCCCCTTCAGTCTGTGTCCTGGGGCAAGACACTCCCTGTCAGGTGCCTCATCGGTAAAGTGGGGAGGGCCACAGCCCCTCCCTCACGGAGCCCATCTGCCATTCAAGGATGGTGCAGGGCAAAACCGAGAGCACTCAGCAAACAGGGGATGTGCTTCGTCTTAGTCACATCCCTGGACAATGCCTAAGAGGATTCCATTTCCTTTGCTTTTTAAAGTCCCACTGATGGACACTCTGGACAAAGGGAACTCTCAGCAGCAACCGCGGAGGGGACGGAGGGGACACGCCTGCCTGGTCTTTTCAGAAAGCTCTAGTCGGGGGCTGGAGAATGATTCTTATTGACTTTCTGCTTCCCACAAGCCTGTCAGGGTCAGACTGGGAGGCGGAGAGATGCTTCCAGAGCAGAACTGAGCGACTGATGTCACTGCCGTCCTCATTAACATTACTCATGGCCACAGGAGGCCCCGCTGTGCCGCTCACAGAGTGCGAAGGACCTCGCTGTGGACTTCACCCAGGGCTGCAGAGGCCAGGCCACATTTTGGCTTTGGGTTTTGGTTTTGAGCTTTCTTTGTTTGTTTGTTTTTATTTTGTGGTTGTTTGTACTGGGGATCGAACCCAGGGTTGCTTGACCACGGAGCCACATCCCCAGCCCTTCTTATTTTTTTTATTTTGAGACACAGTTTCACTAAGTTGTTAAGGGTCTTGCTAAGTTGCTAAAGGCTGGCCTCAAACTTGTCATCCTCCTGCCTCAGCCTCCCGAGACACTGGGATTACAAATGTGTGCCACCACACCTGGCCCGTGTCATGTTTTTGGTAGGAGAGGAGGAAGAATGGCCAGCATGATGCACCAGGGGAGGCATGTAGACAGAGAGTATCTCAAGTTCAACAAGAACACAGTTGAATATTTCATGATCTACTAATGTACCAAGGCAGGGAAGTGCAGCTGAAGGCTGAACCAGCAAGGGGTTCAGCTACCCCTGAAGAGCAGTGAGCCCGGGGCTCTGCCGTGCCCTGGGTGAGGGCGAGGAGTCGGGGGCTCGCTGTCCCGGGCTGGACGGAGGGCTCTGGAGGTCATCGTGAGATAGAAGTAACAGCCGCAAATGCAAAGTTCGCTTTCAGGTTTTTTAAAGATCACCTGCTTGGGGCTGGGGCTGGGGCTCAGCGGCAGAGCGCTTGCCTTGTATGTGCGAGACCCTGGGTTCGACCCTCAGCACCACATAAAAAAATAAATGAATAAAATAAAGGTATAAAAAAAAAGCTTTAAAAAGTATTTTTAAAAAATCACCTGCTTTTAGTCCCAGGGTGGGAGAGACCTGGCACGGAGGGGTCAGGGGCACGGCCACCCACACGTCACCACAGTCCTACAGTCTCTGGGGCGGGGAAGCCCACTGTCTCCATCCCAGGAGGGACCACTGCCCTGGGTTAGCATCTGCCTGTGAGCTGCCTTGCACCTGGTTTCTAACCCTGAGCTCACCGAGGGTGTCCTCAGGTCCCCACTGCCCAGCTCAAGACTGGCATGTAGTAAGTGCTCACAAAATGCTGACCTCCTGAGTGACGGGCACCATGGGCGGGAGCCACAGGAAGAGGAACTCCAGCTCAGTGAGAGAAGGAACGTTCTAGCACATTGGCCGTCCTGCCTGGAGACTGGCAGCGTGCACTGAGAGGGGCTAGCCTCCGGATACCTGCTGGGCAGTCACACTGGAGGTGGAGGGGAGCCTGTGACCCCTGAGGAAATTTCCAGCCCAGAAGTCCTGTGTCACCCGCCATAGCCCAAAGAAGGAGCCAGTCATTTGGGGGAGGGGAGGGGCAGGAAGGGAGGGACACCCTTGGGATGTCAAGCCTGTTACTCTGGAAACGGAACATTTATAGCACCAAGGACTTTGGGGGCTGGGCGGACAGCTCTGGGGACGTGGGAACAGGTGGAGCAGGACAAGGGGCTGGGCTCTGGAGTGACGGTGTGACTCCTTCCTGCCTCCTCCCCATGCTGGGCTCAGGGGCTCAGGAGGCCTCTGGGGACAGGGGCAGTTCTGGTTGGCCTGAGTCCCCGGTATCCAGCCCAGGCCCGGGCACATGCTCGCTCCTGAGTCTAGGAGAAGCCTCTGCTGCACCCGTGCCAGCCAGGACCAGCTTCGCCGTCTATGGGGACCGAGGCAGAGTGAAAACCCAGGGCCTTGGCCATAAAATAAGAATATGAACGCAAGCCAGCCCCCCCAGCCTCCCTGGCCCCTGCAGTCGGGGACCCCACCCCCCAGCCTTAGGAGCAGGCAGCAGGGAATCACTAAGCAACAGCAGAGAAGTTCAAGTTCAAGGGCAGGGGGCGGAGCTTGTGGGGGATCAAGGGTGGAGCCAGCAACACAGATGACTTCCCGGACGGGGGTGAGGGAAACTGTCCTCAACTGGACGGGAGGCGAAGGGAGGGCGGTCCCTCTGTGATGTCATTTTGGAGTGAACCTCACCAGACCCATCTGCGGACTATTTAATTATCCCGGGAACATACCTGTGATTCACTGTTTCCTGTTAATTAAAGGTCTCAGTGCTGTGAGGTCACATGCTCACTTGTAGATGGTCACCCGGCAGAGACCCATGCATGGTTCCTGCCCAACATGAAAGACCTCGTGGTGACCACAGGTCGTGGTTCACTCCGGACAGGTCCTTAGCTGCCTTTGATTCTTGGCCGGCCCTGGGCCGGGTTCTCTCTGTTATGTCCGCTTTTCTGTTTCTGGGGGTGACCGGCCAGCCGCTTCCCTCCCTAACAAGCTGAATCCGTTTGTGAGGGGTGTGCACGCTAAGATCTGGTGGGGGGGGTCATTTCTTTTAACTTTTGGAAATGATGCTTTGACACAAAGCTACTTCCAGAATCAGGACAGACGCAGGAGCCTCGTCAGGGCCCCAGAGAAGACCTGGGTGGACATCGCATCCTCAGAACAGGGACAGACACAGGCTGTTCTGGAAACACAGAACCCAGGGACAGAAGGCTCCTGGGGAGTGACAGGGAGGAGTCCCTGGGGGCGGCGGCCGGGGGAGAGAAAGGGCCTCATCCCCCAAGATGGGAGAGAGGTGGGGAGAAGACAGAGGGGGACATGTCCAGCTGGTGGGGATCAGAGAAGGAAAGCGGAGAGAACCCGGCAATGGCCAAAGGAGAAGGGCGGGCACTTTGTTCTGAGCTGAAGGAGCAAAGGCCTGACTCCCCGAGATGGAGCAGGGACCCCGTGGGCCCCATGGCGGGGGAAGCCCGTCATCCTCCAAGAAAGAGGCTCGGCACCCCCGGCTCACCCACTGAGCCCTGGTGGCCACGGCATGGTGACATGTGCCCACCCGAGGGACAAAACCCACACTCGGACTGAGCAGACACACAAACCACCCTCCCACTCGGGACAGAGGGACAGGTGGACGGGCAAGACTGCAAAATGACAGTCCAATCCCCGTTTCTTTGAAGAACTACTTAAGGATGTCCTCCAGGCAGACCAAAATGAGAGCCAGCAGGGAGCTGGCCAAGGGTGACAGGGAGAGCCGTGTCCATCCTCCAGAGTGTCACATCCCAGCCTGTCCCAGGTGGGCGGGGCCTCCATGCCCTTCCTCCCGCAGCACAGGCAGATGGCAGTGAGCTCGCCCACGGCCCCTCGCTCCCACCGTCCCCACCATCCCCACTGTCCCCACATCCCCCCGCTGCCACGCTGACCCAGGACTGGGCACGGTGGGCCTGCTCATCCTTCAGCCTGGGGCGACCCCTCCTCAGGGGAGCACTCGACCTGAGTCCCCCGCGGGCTCCGTCGGGCTCCCTGCCCTGGTGGGAGGACACAGCCACTGGAGCCTGTCCCTCACCCCAGCACCTGGCCCAGGAAGGCCCTCTGCACCCCCAGCTTCTGTGCTTCTGTGGATGGACAGGCCCCGAGAGCAGGACGGCTCCAGCTGGCTCCGGGACACTCAGACCGGCCACGCTGTGACCTGGCCTCTCTAACTGTGGCCCCGGGCTGGCCTCGAACTCCCTGCCTCCTGCCTGGTGGAAGTGACCAGAGTTGGGGGCAGATGGCACCTGAGTCTGCCCTCCGCCTAGACTCACAAGGACGAGGACAACAATGACAACAGTGACAATGGCGGTGCTCACTGGAGCTCGTTTGGCAGCTGCTGCTTTACCCCATTTCACGGAGGAGCAAATAGGGGCTGGGAAGTGACTTCAACAGGCCCATCCCTGCGGCGACGCAGGGGACACCGGACCTGCCCAGGTCCTCCCACCCAGGCCAACGAGGCTCCGCTCTGCTAGCCCGGCCCCGGGCCCCTGCCCCCAGCCTCACCGAGGGCCCCAAGGGCGTCCGAGTGACCCCTGGCTGCCCGCTCACAACCTACCCTGCCATGACGATGAAGAAATCCAGGCGGTTCCAGGTGTCCCCGAGGTAGCACTTCTTGCCGAAAATGCCCAGGGCCACCATCTTGAGCACCATCTCCATGGCGAAGAAGATGAAGATGAAGTCATCAAAGACCTGTGGCAGGAGGAGGACACCAAGGACAGGGTGGGCTTCAGAGCCAGGCTGCAGGGCTGGGGTGGGGACAAGGTGTGGGTCAGGGACCCCTGGGGACTCCTCGAACAGGAACCGCCCTGGCCCAGTGGAGTCATCCCCCAGACAGGAGGCCCAGAGAGGGGAGTGGACTTGCCCAAGGTCACACAGCCCATCCTTGGTCCCCTTGGCCTGGGGTGATGACGAGGGAGGGTTGGGGGGGAGGGCAAGGGTCTCTCCCATATTCTCCCCAAAATTGCCAAGCGCTGGGTAGACGCTGGCCGTGCACCTTCTCGTCCAGCCCCGCGATGGCCCCCAGCGGCCTGTTTTGCGGGGGAGGCAGCTAACACGGAGAAGGGCAGGGCCGGGCGGCCGGGCTCACCTGCAGGATCTTGCAGCGGTCCGACAGGCAGTCCATGTCGTCGCAGGGCTGGTACATGCCGAGGGTCACGCAGTTGAGCAGGATCACCAGCATGCTCACGCACTCGAACCACGCGCACAGCGGTCAAGGTCAAGGTCAGGGGGGCAGCCTCAGCAGAGCTGCGCCCGCGTGCTGCGGCCCATCCGCCCGCCTGTGCCCATCACACGTGGTCTGCCCCACCGCGGCTCGAGCACCACCCCGCTGCCCTGCAGGGTCCCCTGCCCGCCTCACCCCGGGGCTCCCCAGCTCAGGAAGGGAGGGGGCTCCCCAGAGGTGGCGGCAAGACTGAGGCCAGCTTCCGCACTCTGGCCTCGTCCCCTCCCTGACCCCCCTGGTCTGCCCTGAGCCCAGACCAGCTGGACGCCCACCCCTGCACCAAGCCAGGGCCAACAGCACCTAGAGACCCTCTCTCAACTGAGCCCCCAGCAGGGGACAGGGCCTGGGGGCCCCAGCTCTGCCCACCCCAACCCCTGCTCCGCCCTACACACAGTCCACTGTGTCCAGTCCCACCACTCTCAAACCACCTAGTCACAGAAGCTCAGAAGGACCTTGGGGCCTGTGTCTTTACGATCCCCCAATCTGTCATGACACAGAGGAGAAGGCTCAGATCTCAGTCTCCCAACCTGGACTCTCCTGTCTTGACCGAGCCCTAGTTGAAAAAGGGGAACTCAAGGTAAAATGGACTTAAGCCACAGACTGCATGAATGACTGCAGTCGGACTCACAGATGAACTTCCAGAACAGAAAGCCTGACTGCCCTTAGAGGCCACATCTCTCCTTGTCTGCGACAGACCCCACTGTGTGCTGTCTACACAACCCCGATTCCTGCTCCAGAACTGAGCTGCAGAGTGGAGAGGAAGACCTTGGTGGTAAGCTGGACAAGGGACCAGGGGACCTGATTTGAACTTCAGCCCTGGCACTGAGGGACTCTGGGGCCTTAGGCATGCCCCTTACCATCCCTGGACCTCTTAGGCTCCCACTGAGGCCCCAAGACTGCCCTCGGGGCTGCTCTGGCCCCTCCTCACAGCGAGGGTGAGGGGTCAAAAATACCAGGGAGCTTTTTATTTTTGGTACCTGGAATTGAACCCAGAGGCGCTTAACCACGAGGACACAGAAAAATTGTGCTCTCTAGGCGTGACATGAATTGTAACGCATCTGCCGCCAAATATGACGAGTCAGCCGCCTCCCGCCCTGCTCAGACCCCTGCTGTCTCCCCCCACACACCTCTGACCTCACCAGTCCCCTGCCGCACCTCAGGGCCTCTGCACACAGTGTCCCTGCCAACTGGAGGTGTGACGTCCCAAGGCCCCCAAGGCTGACTCTCTAACTTCATGCCACCTGCTCTGAGAAGTCCCACCCCTCCTTCAAGTGCCTGCCACACCCTTCCTCTTTCCTTCCCTCCAGCACTTACCACCCAGCTGTGACAATAACAGGCATCTAGGAGCAGCCCCCTGTCCCCCTGTCCAACTCCAGTGGAGCCTGTCGGACCCTCAGCCAGACCCCGGCCCCAGTGGGGGAGCCCTCTTGCCCCTTGGGGGAGTGGCCTGGTTTCCTTGGGACTTGGCCTTCTGCCGCCTCCCTCCCTGGGAGTCTCTGCCCTGCTCCTTCCTGTCCCCCCACCCACTGCCATCCTCTCTTCCAGCCTGTAATCAATGCAGCCGCTGCCAGGCCCCTCGGGGCTGAGCCTCCCTCGTGGCTTCCTCATTAATTAACTTTTCTGAAGTTCAAACATTCTAATTACCAGCCCCCTGGCCCTGCCCCGCGCCTGGCGCTCCCTGTCCCCAGCCGCGGCCTCTGTCCTCCTGAGCAGCGTCTCCTGGGGCCTGGGGCCCAGCCCTCCCTACAGGGTCACAGGCCACTTCACAGGCGGGAAAGCCAGGGGCCTCTCCAGGTCACCAGCTGGACCCCGCGGCCAGGGCTCTCCTCCGTGGCATGTGGCCTGTGTCCTGCCCAGGGCCCGAGCGCCTCACCTGGCCCCGGCACCAGCCTTCTCTCCGGCCTCCACTGGGTCTCTGCCCTCCAATGTCCCCCACAGTACCCAGCACCTGCTGTGTCCCCAACACAAAGAGCGTTTTGCTAGTGTCACATCATCAGATCCTCAGGGTCCTGTAATAAGCCCCACTTACAAATCAGGAAACGAAGAGGGGACCCAGCTGCCCAAGGTCACCGCTGGAAGGAGCGGGGCGGAGGCCCAAAGCCAGAGGCTGCTTCTCCCACTGAGTGCGCCCCCCCATCACCCGCCTGCACCCCGACCCGACCTCGCCCCACAGATCCTGTCCACTTGGCCCGACGCCCGGGGCTCTGACCTCATGGGCGCCTCCGGGCCCATCTCTCCCGCCGGGCAGCCCTAGCGCCTCGCTGTCCCTGGCCCTCCGCACACTCTCCCGCCCCAGCGACTCCCACTCGCCCCCAACCCTAACCCCATCCCTGGCCCCTCTGCTCCGCTGGAGCTGCAGCTCCCCACCCGCCAGGCCCCTCAGTAACCACGACAACCACGGGCCGGGCACCCCAGGGACGTGACCTTAGCTGCCACCACAATTCACTGGGGACAGATGAGGAAACGGGCCTGGAGGTCTGGTGTGACATGATCAAGGTCACACAGCAGCCCAGACGGTCACTCAAGCCTGTGGCCACCACGCAGAGCTGCCCGGGCTGCTTGTCCACCTCGCCCTGCGCTGGGTCCTGGGACCTCGGCTGCAGGTGCACGGGGTGGGGGTGGGTGGCCCGGCCCCTCCCCAGGCACTCAGGGCATCCCAGGTGGAGAGCCTGGGTCCTGGCCGGGAGTCAGGCAGACCGGCCTCACTGCCCGACACGCCCCCGGGGGCTGCAGATCAAAGGCAGCGGCCCTCCTGGAGGAGGAACCAAACCAAGCAGCCAGAGGTGGAGGCTGTCAGGGGAGTCCAGGGCTCTGGCCTGGCCCAGCGAGGGGTGGAGGCTGTCAGGGGAGTCCAGGGCTCCCGCCCGGCCCAGCACCTGCCACTCCCACTGTTAATCCTCAGCCCTGAGGAGTGAGCGCCCGCAGGCCAGGGGCCGAGTTCCAGGACCAAGCAAAGGAGGCTGGGGTCCAAGAGGGCGGGAAGGGTAGGGTAACAGAGCAGCTGAGAACCGTCTCCACGGGGCAGGGAGTCCTCAATGGTGCCCAGGGCCTCTGGTGGCGAGGCTCAAAGGCCCTGCCTGGAGTCTGAGGCTGTCCACCTGGAGTCCGACCACCCGCTACGTCACGCCCAGGGCCTCGTTCCTGTCAGTGGCACCCATGCCACACAGCAGGGACACTGAGGTCCTCGGGAAGCAACCGATCCAACCCCGGGGACTCCAACGACAGGGAGTGGGCAGAGAGGCCGAAGTGACCATCGCCACCCTCTCCCCACCTGGGGGGCCGACCCCGTGAGACCCGCGTGTCCAGGCCGCCTCTCGGAGCTGCCGCGTGCAGTCACTCGGGCTGATTAGCTCCCTGACAGGCAGCCTTGGAGGAGCCCAGATGGAGGAGCAGATCAATGGCAGCCAATCAATACGGTTTCCTTGGCAGGAAAAGCCACCCCAGGTGCCCCGAGCCTTGAGCCCCGGGAGAAAACAGCCCCAGGGTCCATGAAGCCGCCAGGCCCTCTGGGCACCAAAGCCACACGAGCAGCCAGCGGGACCCAGAGGCCTGGACACTCACCCACCTCCCAGCCCCACCATTGTGCCTCCCTAAGGCATAAGAACTGGGGCCTAGACCAGAGCAGGGTATATATTGAGTGCCTGCTGTGTGCCGGGCACCGGGCTAACAACAGTAACAATGGTAACGATCGCAAACATTTCTTAAGTGCCCGTGAGGGCTTGTTTGCTAGGGGCTTCCCATCAAACCCCTTGCACTATCTCATTTAAACCCAACAGGAAGCACAGGTCACAAGAGGCCAGAGGCCCAGCACACAGGGAGTGCTATGCACACTCGGGTCCCAGGGCCAGGGCTCTCCTGCTTTAAAATGAATAAATTAATAAAGTCAGGAGCAGTGGTGCACGCCTGTTAATCACAGTGGCTCAGGAGGCTGAGGCAGGAGGATTGCAAGATCAAGGCCAGCCTTAACAACTTAGCAAGGCCCTAAGCAACGGAGTGAGACCCGTCTCAAAATGAAAAATAAAAGAGCTAGGGATGTGGCTCAGTGGTCGAGAGCCCCTGAGTTCAATCCCTGGTATGGAAAAAAAAAAAAAAAAAACAAACAATCAGTCAAACAATTCGTGCCTGAGACGGAGCAGGTTTGCCTGGGAATTAAATTTCCCCAGACTGGCAGATACTACTGTAGCACCCACTTTACAGATAAGGCAACCAGGACTGGCGCTGGGGCCAGGCAGGTGGCACGCGGTCGGCAGGGTCGGCAGTGCCCTCGCCGGCCCCAGAGTGTGTTTCTAACCACATACTGTGGGCTCAGCACCTGGGAAGGCCCGACCCTCGGCTGCCGAGGGCCAGAGGGATGTCTGCTGTTTCTCCTCACCCACCAGCGCCTCCCGGGGCTGAGCCAGGCGAGTAGAGGCTGGGCCTGGGTCAGCAGGGGGCTCAGCCCTCAGTCCATCAGCCTGGTGGACGTCCAGTCCTGTGTGGCCCCCAGAGGGGTCAGGAAGAGGCAGATTCATCTGCAGGAGGCAGCGGTGGGTGGGGAGGCAGCCGGGGGGTGTCCCACCCCCAGTTCCCAGCCAGGAAGAGGCCACAGAGGCCGAGAGGACCAGCCCCGAGCCCTCGGACGGCCAGAGCAAGGGGCAGGGTCACCAGGCAGCCCCCAGGCCAGGGCCCCTCTCACTACAGGTCCCAAGCAGAAGGGTGACTGGGTGGAGGGGCAGCGCCCAGCACCCAGCAGGCCCCTCAGGGCGGCCTCCTCTCCAGGAGCAGCCAGCGGCCTGCACGGTTGCCATGGCGACCACCCCCTCTGGCCACCGCTGGCCAACAGGCAGGGCTTCTGTAATTCGGGGGGCTCTGGAGGAGGGTGGGGGCGGCGCTGTTTTGGCGGGGGCGGCCAAGTGTGTTTTTATTTTTGTCAAATCTGAAATCAAGTCCATTTCCCAGGGTGCCCCTCGGCTGTCTGAGTCAATCAGGCGGGAGGAGG